GTGTGTGTGTGTGTGTGTGTGTGTGTGTGTGTGTGTGTGTGTGTGTGCATATGTGCTCCAGGGTGCTTGCGTGTTAATCCTGAGTGAAAGGCTAGTTTTTTTTCTGCACTGGACGGCAGTGGGGGGACTCCCTGGAGGGCCTCAGTGTGCCTGCCCTGTAAGCCTGTGTGAATGAGCCTGAATTCGCAGGCTCCCCACGAGGACGCACGGCCGATTAAGCTGACAGTCAGAGGCCCATTGACCAGTCACAGAGATTAAACGCCGGGCCATCTCGTCGGCTAAAACAACCTGCGGGACTGAGGGAGGGATGGAGAGTGGGAGAGGAGGAGAAGGAAATGGATGGAGACACAGGGAGACGTGCGGACACTCACTGTTACTCGTCGCTTCGGTAAATGACGCCTTTTGTCCATTCCAGCCTTTGTTGTCCATCTGTAGTGATTGGGAGAGAAAAGGAGAAGGAGGGAGGTAAGAGAGATGTAAATTCTTGAACAGACAGCTTCTTCACGCATGTCAGACGAGTTCCTTCCTACTGTTTGGGCCACAAAGAGACGAGCGCTCAGAGGAGTGGATGCTTAAGAACCTAGTGTCTGTCTAGGCCAGCTACTTAATTGGGGGGGGGGGTTGTCAGTGTTTAGTATTTAAAAAAGGTCCCGCGTCAGTGTGTTACTTCTGCTGTGGTATGTACATTGCCTCCACAAACACAAACGTGTGTGTGAAACAGAAAAACAAATAATTTCTGATGCGCGTGAGAGCTGAGGAGCTGACACGGTTGTAAACAAATGCACCACCTCCCCCCCTTAATACCCCTCCCAAGTCTCGTCACACTTCTGTGCACAGATCACCCACAATCCCACGGTGGGAATGTAGTGCAACAGAGGCCCCCAAAAAAGAAGGGGAGGCAAGGGAGGACAGAGAAAGAGAGAGATCTAAAGAGAGACACCCTATCCTACAAAACAGGAGCTTGGCAAACACGGTTCAATCATTCCATAGAGCTCTGGGATGTCTGAGGATCTAATGAGAAGTAGGCCGTCCAACTCATTCTGATAGAGATGTTTTCGGAGTTGTCAGGCTAATGCACATGCCGTGTATCAGCCACTAACTCCATTCTGTCTAAATATTCTGCCTCGAGTGTAACCAGAAAGGGCTCACCTCTTGCCAGGAATTAGATTAAACAGTGAGACTCAATGGCCTGCTTTTTTCCAACCTCAGACATAAAAACATAGTAGTTTCTAGGGCTAACACATTAAAACATGCAATGATACAAACAGAAATTCAATACCCCGTGTGCAACATTTGACATTTCCTCGTCGACGCATGCAACTGGTGCGTGTTCAGTGTGCAGATTTAGACACGTGTCAACGAAAAATGGCAGCGCTTGAATGTTTAGTATGAGGATGAAGGATGAATATTGACTGTGAACTGCATGGATCTTTGGAGTAAACGAGACAACTTCACAGACATTCTGATAAGAGCGAGTGTCATCCTTTAGCTATATGGTATGGCTGTCTGAATACGATACATGCTGAAGCACATATCTAACTAATGAGCTGTCTGGGGAGAGATGAATATTTACAGAGCGCCCGGTTATGTAACCTCATCTCTATCGTAATCTGCTCTCTTGAGCTTAGAAAACCAACGAGGTGAATAGAGATGATGCTGATCAATGGTTGCTTGCAAAACACAGTCGGTTCAGGGGAGCTGAGCAGGTTGCATAATAGGTTGACCATGTCAGCTGCACTGGGGACTCGTGATAAATCGGAGAATCGGCGGAGTCTCTGGGTGTTTTGATATTCTGCACGGTGCTGTACAGATGCGATAGCGTGTGGACGAAATAGGATGGGTGCATTTCTTTATGTAATCCGTCAGCATATACAGCCGCACAACCGAGATCACTATCGCCGCAGCGCTGCTGCTATAGCGTGGCTGGAATACCAATGGTAAGACGACGTCCTGTATACATCTCAGTGTGTCTGTGTTTGTTGAAAAAGGTGCTTTCCTGGAAGCATCTATGAAAACCATTCACATGGTGCTCAAATTATATTTTATAATTATTCAAGGAACCTAGTTTGACTGACATTTTTAACCGGTAAATCAAAAACATTATTAACGGATTAATCAATAATGTATATGTGAAATATTCTAAGGGAACTTACAACTGTTAAAGGGAAACGTTGCTGATTTTCAACCAGCTTTTGCATCATTACATGTGGGTAGAATATGCAAATGAACCATGTTTAACTTCCCTCCATGATGCTAGCACCCAGAGCTTCCCGCTCATTTTCCAGCAAAGGTCCCCTGGGTGACGCATTGTGCCGGCTCTAGGGTGTTGTTTGAACGACTGATTGTACTTCCGCTTTTTTTTTTAGTTCGAACAACAGCCGGAGGGAAGTCAAAAATTCTTCACTTGAACGTCTACCCACATTGTAAGGATACAAACCTGGTTTTCAAATAATGAATTGTTAATTGTTGCACGTTTAGTTTATCACTCTGTCGTCCCCTTAAATAGATAATGAAAATAACTGTAAGCTGCACTCCTATGATCACTTAAGCCCCCGAGTAGAGCAGCGACAGCATACTGTTTAAAACTTGGGATAAACTATCTACTCTTACAGTAATCAGGCACTTGAATGAATGAGCAGAGCGGGACACGTGTATATAAACTGGCCATCAAACATAAAAGTCGTCGTGAGCAGGAGAAGATGAGTGGGGTTAGCACCTCGGTGGGGCTCTGAGAGAGTGTGGAGGCCTTGTATCCCAGCTGCAGGAGCATCGCCTCGGCTGCGTTCCGCTTGGCCACCTTCTTGTTGGGTCCTGTTCCTGTGGCCACCTCGTTATTCACCTTCGCCTGCAAACACATGCACAGAAACACACGCACACACACACACACGCACGCACGCACGCACACACACACACACACACACACACACACACACACACACACACACACACACAGGTACATACAAATGAGCTAGACATCCAGAATTTAATATCATGGCCGTGCAGATAGACACTGACAGTGAATCACTGAATGACTTGCTAAAACAGTAATAAATGTGGAAGAAAATGTCTTTTCTCAGGACTTTCTTCTTCCTGTCGCACTTTCATTCACTTTCGGGCCTCGCTCACTGGGGCCGAGTCAGCCGAGCAATTTACATCACGCATAAAAAATGCTCCGAGTGAAGTGTTTGTTTTTCAGTGGTCCTAAAACATGAAATCTGTCCACGCAGAATGTAAGCAGAGAAATATCAGACGTCGTTATGTTATGCAAACAGACAATTACACTTGTACAAATAACATTGTGGGAGCCAAAGCCTGTGAACAGCCAGACTTCAGTGCACTCACTCAAAAGTGTTCCGACATGCTCACTGAGTGCTCGCCTGAATGCATCAAGTAGGACACAACATACAACGAGGAGGAAAGCTGACAAAAAAGATCCCCAAATTGCTAAAACAAACACAATCGCTCTTTTAACAAATCCTAAAAAGATGATCACACACTCAAAAGGCTTCCGACACTAGTTTTTTTGTAACTAGTGATGGGTTCAGGAAAAGAAGATGCGAAAACAGAGACTCACTTGAGCCCCGCTACTTACTAAAAGGAAACAATGTGGAAATTTTAGAAGAGCGAGTGGACCGCACAAAAGGAACAACGCACACACTTGCGGGGCCTAATGTGTGTATCAAAGAGGCACGGAGAATAGGTCCGAGGCTGAATTACTGCCCGACGCTAAGAGAAGGTCTGTTCTTCTTATGAAAGAGGAGGATTACGGAAAAAAAAGAGAGACAAAAGAGCAAGAGTTTGACTGAGAGAGACGGACACAGAAAGACGAACAGGAAGAGGGAGACAAAGAGAGCTGCAGTTCAAATGTTGCACATAAATTAAAAACGGACTACGCCAGCGTTGCCAGTTCTTTTTTTTTTTTTTTCTCATACTCGAAACAGACTTGTTGACTGGGGTTGTAGATACACACAGATTGTAGCAACAACAACGGAAGGACAAGAAACCGACTAGCAGAGTATTCACCGAGACCGCAACTCGGTGTTTCCCCAACCAAATCTAAATCTTCACATCACCACTTGTTACCGTCTTTCCCTTGTTTGCCGTCTCTGCAGACAAACACTGTAACGTGGTTTAGAAATAATCCTGACAGATCCAATACGTTGGCATGTAGTCAGTAATAGATCCACTGAAACAGTAACATGGTTCACAGTACGCTGGGGGGGAGCAGCTCATTAGAGAATGAATGAAATCAAAATGAAATAGAAAAACCTAATTACACGTTCTGTTTTTTGAGTGATCATTAATGTCTGCAGGATGTTTTTCATAATATCTTCTTCATTTAGATACTATGCATGCAAGTGTACTAGAGAGATGTAAAAGGTAAGTAGATCAAATACAGACAGATAGTGCCAGTTTCTATTCAAAACAAGGCAGATCTAATTTAAGGCTAACCAAGAGCAATGAGCCTGTGTCGTAATAATGTAGCTTGTTTTTAAATGCATGGCCTCAAGTAATTAAAGTAACTCTGAATAGAGTAGCTGTGGTTCCTGATGGGATTCCTTCATCCGTGCAAAAAGCCCCTGCTCGGTTTACTAGATTAGTGATAAACAGCAAATCATCCATAACTTAGTTAAGGGTTAAAGGTTGTTGCTGCAGCAGGAGCATGACATTAGATTCTGTTAATGAATGCTGGCTCCTCACTACACAAACCACACAGAGTGCTGCAGGAACGAGCCCTGAGACCAGGAAATGAGTTCGCCTTTCTGTACTTCTGGTGCCCTCGTCTCAAAGTCAGTTGATTGGTTTTTTTTGGGGGGGGTTAACACAAGCTCAATATATTTTAATAATTTAATTTAAAGATATAAAATATGTCAGTAAATATACTCTCTCTCACTGCCTTTGCAGCCTTGTTGAATATACTCGTGGTCATGCGATTGTGATGTAGTTCGTTTATAGCCTTGTATTAGCTTTTTGCTTCGGTCGATGATCATAAAATCATAGAATTTTAAGTGAATTTGTGAAGATTAGCTTGCTGAACACAACGTGAAGGTATCTTGTGTTTGCGACAGAGCTTATTTTCTGCAATAATTCCAAATCCAATGCAAAAATCCCATTGGTTGGCCTAAGAATAAAAGTCACCCCTGCAGCGCTCCGTTCTATATATTTCTGCGGTACAGAAGACAGTCTTTGTGCTTTTTTGTTACAGCTTGAAATGTCAATTTAATAGCATAAAACAGTTGTCTGCTTCCCTGAAGAAAACAAGGCTATAAAGATGGATGTTCATCTGTTCTGAGCTTTATATGCATAGCTGTAAAAATAATGAATATCAAACAGAACTTTTCAAGAGGGAGAGGGGAGTGAGAGAAAAAGGGAGTGAGAGGGAGTACAGGGAGGTTCCAATTCAATTATAAATCATGTTGTACATGCTAAATGGTACCAGAGCTAAAAGTTACTTGTCAGGCTTTCATAAGTAGTGCAACTTTGGTGGCTTTACGCACTAAGTGGAGACAATTTCATCTTAAAATCTGTGTTGCTCGGACACGAAGCATTAATGTTACACTTCATCCCAACATTTCTTTTCATCCTTTAAGGGAATTAAAAATCAATGACACTGGGGGCTAAGTGGCTGCTGACGATCTTTGTTATATTTGTGTACAACGCTGATAATTGGGGAGAAATTACAAAACAATTCTGAAGAAAAGGAGACGACATATATATAGGAAAACAGAAAGGAAAGGTCACATTTTTGGAACTTAATTTTCTCAGGACGCCAGAAATGGAAGCAGGGTTAAGGGCTGACTACACGCATGACAGAAATAAGATCATAGGACAAAACATAGAAACTTGTGTTTTAATGTAAAGATGTTATACAACTGCTGCTACTGACAGAGAGACTGACAGAGACTGCCTGAATTCCTCCAGGGAAGCGGGTTTCTTGTAGCAGCATACATAGAATAAGAAATGTGACAAACCTGAGACAAATAAAGAGAATATGAAAGCAAAACCCTCGTTTACCTGCATGATGAACTCCCGGCGTCGGGGCATCCCCCTTTCAGAGAGCAGCAGGTACTCTGGCTCCTTCTCCTTCTTGGCCTGCTGGATCTGGGCCAGACGGCTGATCGGGTTCATGCCCTGGCCATAGTCTGGTCCCGTCTGCGAGGAAAAGGAGGAGACACGGGATGATCAATCCCAGTCATCACAATTATTCAGGGGTGGGTGTAATGGGCATTTTCCAGGTGGGCCGACACAACTGTCTTGTTTTCTTTTTTGTCTGACGGCTCATGAAACAGGTCGATCGGCCCATTGTGTGTTTTGTCTTAATTGACACTGGGCTGACCCAATCACAACTTTCAACCCCTCCCCCTAAAAGACTGCCAAAACGGGTAAGACCAAACACAAGTGAGGCGTGGGGAAATTATGGGTCGAAAAAAGACCTTTTAGCGACTTGCTGCTCAGAGTAAACCGAGTCAAACTGAGACCGGCAGCGTCTCCCCCGTCTCCTCTCATGCTGTGTGCACGCAGGCAGGAGTGGTAACTATGGTTACGGGCATCGGCAGGTCATTTTGTCCGAGCCGAAGCCCACGTGAAGCTTGTGTGAACGTGTGATAGTCTCTCTGTGACACGTCTGTCTTTCAAAGTAACTGCAGGTCTGCGTGTGCGTATTCCTGCAGTCTACAGAGCTTAACCGTCAGTTCAGCAACGTTACTGTATGTGGGTGAACGGAAATGAGATCGCACTCATCTGCAATGGATAGATGCAAAAGATAAAAGAAACACAGGAAATGAATAGGAAAAAATATATTTCACACTTCAAACCATTTTGCAGTCGAGTAATTGAAATAGTTACGATGAATAGCCTTGCTAAAGTGTTTCATGACTGACCTGTAGCAAGACTTCCAAAGTTGACTGTACCTTGCAAAAAATGAAACACACTGATACCTCGAGTACATGAATCGGATGAAATCATCGCGTGTCTGTACACAGAGGCCGCAGTACCTTGAGGATGGTCTTGGTGCGTTTCTTGTAGTG